ACCGTTTCTGCTCAAAAACCAGTTACTGAGTAAGAACCCCACACTCAAAGACAGATTATTTGTATTCGTGTCCTTAGGTGCCCAACAGTTGTAGGGATTGTTGGTTTCTCTTAAGTAAGTACCTAGAGTACTCCAGTTTTGAAAGAAATGAATTCTCAAACGTATCTGAATTCTCATCTCGAACATTTTAGCGATTCCCAGGCTTTCGGCACATTTGATTGTGTTATAAATGGGGAGCGTGGCAAGAAGTGCACCGACTTGTGATTTGTAAACGTGTGGCTTTTCTTACACGGGGACACCAGCTGCCTTGTCAGGAGAGGAGGCGGAGGGGAGGAGGGGAAGCACTAGAATGCTGGTCCAGCATTTTCTGTTGTTGTTAATTCTCTGAAGAATTAATAGAAGGAATTTGCAACATCAGTAAGACCTGTTCCTTTAGTAGGATCCACGACCGGCGGTACTGACAGCCGGGTCATGGGGCAGCTGTGGGTAACGTGTGTGCGATTTAAATCCTTATTACAGTAGCTCTCAAGTCTTTTTCCTTTTTTTTTCTCTCAAGCACTGAAGGTAAAATATCCTAATCAAGTTGATCAGAGAGTCCTAGAGAAACAACTGCCAGGTAAGAAAAACAGGCCTTTCGCCTCCTTACACTTAGGAATCACTGGCCTAGGCATGAGTTGGCTGGAAGGAAGATACCTAGAAGTGTGGACTTCTGGAGCTTATAGGTTTTCGCTAATCTTTTATGATCTGAAACACAATCCATCGACATTCCCCCCAAAAGCTCAAGTCTCCCGTACTCAGGTCAGCTTATCTAGGAAAGTCTTGTTAAACCAGAAGCCCTTGCGTACGATGACATCTTGAGCCGAAGGCGTGAGCCCTGGAGCGGCGTGGCCTTTCCTGAGCCCACCGCTGTTTAGTTCCCAAATTGTGGCTCTGGTTCAGAGAGACTGTGTCACTGGGCTTGAGGTCTGTCTTCCCATCCCTTTCATAAAACAGGAAACGTGTCCTGGTGAGCTGAACTGAACTGTGAATTACTTGGATATTTGTGACTTCTCATACACTCTACTCCTTACCAGTCAGGAGTCCCCGCAGAAAGGTCTCGGATGTGGTCTTCTAATGGACACACTGAAATGGTTTTCTTTGGAAAAACAACTTCAGAACTCTGTCTAAACATCAGTGTTACTGGAACTGAATTAGTTTCATTTCAAAAATAGTTTTGTGTCAACAAACTAGATTGATCTAATGTACCTTAAACTTACAATTAGAGTCCCTCTTTCAAATATACTGTGAATTATTAGATAAAGCCTGATTCATGGTTAGGCAGTGGTACGGACAGCTTAAGTGTGGAGCAGTGAGCCTCTGAGGAAGAGATGAAATGTGTATCACCCTAGGGGACTCTCGTAAAATACTTTTCTTTGCTTGTCAGTGCAGTAAATTCACATTTTTTAAATTTATACTTTGTAGCACTTGTAATGGCAATGTCACCACCACTTAAATGTTTACCAGTGGGGAAGGAAAGGGCCGACTGAACTCCGGTGGGACCGTGCCCTGTGCATCAGGCGGCATGAGCAAGAACGCAGGGGTCGGGGCCCCACTGGCCAGTATCGGCCGCCACGGGTGGCAATTTAAATTGAAATTCATTAAACTGAAATAAAAAAATTCAGTCCTGAGTCGTCCTGAGCCCGTCACACTTCAGGTGCCGGCCGGCCGCACGGATGGAGACCGGACGAGAGAGCATGTGTGGTCAGTACGTTAGGAGACCCACCCGTCCTGCCAGGACCGGAGAAAAGCCTGGAAGTGTACACCCCCGTTAAACTTTCAACACTGGCCCTAGGGAGGCACAACCATCTCTACATTTTCTGAATGTTAAGACGGTCGTGTGTTACGTTTACATTAGAAATGGTAACGTTATTTAGAGCGTTATGTGCACATTGCCACCTTTTCTGTAGACCCAGTGCGAGTGGGCAGATTTCTCATCAGGATTGTTGTAGGACCAGACGTTTTGTTTCTGACGTGACTTAGGAATGTGTCCTTTCTGTTGTGGGGTAGGAGTTAACCCATCACTGACCACCCTCAGAACTGTGAAAGCCGGTCCACCGAAATCTTTATAAAAGGACAAGATTATCTACACACATTCACACATAAAAAAACAAATTGTGAATTATGTCAATTGTTTATATTCAACACATAAACAAGGCCAGTTTTTATTCTAAAATAAAGAACATTTATTATCACAAGTTGCATAAAAACACAGACGGCTTTACAAAAATCATTTCTGATAGAAAAATATTTGAATCCATGTGATATTTGTAGGAACACCATACTATTGCTGTACCTCCAGCTAAAGCTTCAAAGAAACTCTGTTACTCCTCAAAATATCCAGTATTTACCACAACCCATCTTTGGAAAGGAGTTCATAGCATTTTCTGAACAAACCAAAGCATCTGCTCGTGAAGCAGGTCCCCTGCATGCGCTCCCAGGGAGCCTGTGGACCACCGGTCCCTCCCTCGCTCTACAGAGGGGGGAAACCGAGGCAGAGTGATGGAGAGGCGCCCTCCGGACGCCTGAGCCCCCACTCCAGTGTTCTCTCAGCCATCCATAAGTGAGTAATCACAGAGGTTTAGAAAGTGAATGATTTTCACTCACATGTACTCCTCTCTGCAGAGAAGATGATTTCTGGTTTATTCAGATGCAGGAGGAAATAGTAAACACCACTGAAATGGTATGAAAAGCCACTGTCAAAGGGCACTTCGGTCAGCCACTGGCTGGGTTCCCCACAGCTTCCCACATGTCGGGTCAGCGGTGTGGACGAGCCTCTTCCTACTGATTGCCGCGGGGAAACGGAGACCGTGAATCGTTGCGACTGGGGTCTTGGCAGGTGAGCTAGTTTTACACGCAACGTCATTCGAGAGAACTGAGAGTGTTTCTTTCCTTGACAGACTCCATGACAATTCAGAAGGTGAAGGGACTGCTGGCCCGTCTTCTCAAAGTTCCTGTGTCGGAATTTCTGCTGTCCTATGAAAGCCCCAAAGTAAGTTGCCCAGCAGAACAGAGTTTGGCTTATGTCCCCCCAGTGTGACACGCTGGGAAGCTAGGGCGCCATGTGACATGGGTTGCTTCTAAATGGGAAACACACACCTGTTTGACTTTAAGGATAATCTACTTTGGGGGGAGGTATATATAACATGCTTTGTTAGATCTGTCTTAATTACTCCCCTGAATCTTTGTTCTAATTTTAGTTGCTAGGCAAGTTGCTTTTTGACCCAAGGGAGGAGATTTATCTGTGTTCCATGCAGACATCTCAGAGGGGTGCTAGACTTGGAATATCCTGAAAAGTCCTAAACAGAGTTATTTGATGGGGGACTATCAATGGGGACCATTGATCCCCGCAGTGTGTGTGTGCATGTGTGTGTGCATATATGTGTGTGTGTGTGTGTGTGTG